GAGTGGCGAAGAAGGGAAACCACAGATAGACACATAAATAAATCTTACTTCGGGTTTTCAGTCCCTTCCCTTTGCTTTCTCCCTCTCCCCACCAATATAACCTTATCAATGAACTGTCCCTCTCAAAGTATATATGCAGATATCCACTTCTAGTTACAGAATTTAAATGCAAAAAATTGTATATAAAACAAACTCTTCGTAGAAGCAGAGAATTGCAGATGAGTTCTACCAAAATTAAAAACCAAGACAAAATGAAGGAAAGAAGGCAGGCATGAAAATCTCATCCGCATCACCTACGTACTGTTTTGCAATGTTACCCACAATCACATGTGGAGTAAAATTCTGGTAAATACAAATCATAACAGCTTTCTTTGACTACCAGTGGCAAAGAATACAGACCAAAGTTCTTTTTGTTAAGATTTCCTTCTAACACTCAAGCTAAAAAACCAAATTGTGAAACAAGTAAAACCAGGCTTTCCTTAACACGACCAAGTCCTCTGATGGTTTGCAGAGCAGTGAAATTAATCAAAAAGGATCATTCCAAACACCTAACCCACTTTACCTACCTCATAGGCACTTGGAGGATATCTCTAGGCCCAGGAAGGTGCTGAAATGTGTGTGCTACAGGCTTGCAGAAGACAGAAAGAAAAGGATGGACAAAAGGTTCATTAACATATTAAAAATCCATGGAAAAACCCGAACTGGTTAAAGAGCTCAGTAAGAGAAGGAAGAAAGAGAAATTCTGCCATTGTTGCAGTTAAAATACCAAACAACCTGATAAATAATTTCAGGGAAAGGCATGTAAATACATTGGCTTACAAGAAAAAAGATCTAAGTTGCAAAATAATCACAGCAGAAGTTTGTTACATTGTATCATTATCTAAATAACTGTGTCAGCAGACATACTGGTTGCTAATACTTGCTCTGATTCCTCCTGGAGCAGTGGGAGTAGGCTGCCAGGATAACTTTGAAACCACAAAGATGAAACTTTTCTTAGGTTTGGGTCTTACACCAATGGCTGGATAACTTGGAACGACCAAGCATCACTACGGAAAAAAGGAATAAATAAAAACCCTGCTTATATCAAAAAATTCTTGTGGACTTTGGGAAAGCGGCAGCTCTTTAGATGAGAAAGATCCATTCTCACCTGCCATTCAAAAGCTGTGTTACCTGTTAGGGACAGGAAAAGTCACCTTTACTAAGAACAGCTCTTAACTAGCAGGAAAACAGGCAGACAGTTCTATTGCAAGAAATAAAGGAATAATAAAAACGTAACTATTTGGTACTGGAAATAAACCAAAAGCCTGAAACCGAGGAGACTGGACCTTGCAACGGGAACCCAACAACTTCTGCACTCCCCCAGTCTGCTGCTGGTGAAATTCATACAGAAAGTACAATCTTACAGGCTTCAGGTGTCAGAAGGCAGAATCAGGAGATGACAGAGCTGGTAGAACTCTAAGGAGATCACAGACAGAAAGGCCCATGGAATGGGAGCCGCCAAAACAACAGTATCAGCCCCTCCAAGTCCTGGGCAAACTCCTGGACTACACCAGGCCAGTGGAAAGTCACAGCTGGTATAGTGGGTGCAACTCCCAAGTTTGATGATTCACTAGGAGGATT